GTGTTTCAATACTCGGTAGAACCGAAGCATTTCGGTCGGTACCATAAAAGAACCGAAGTTCGGTACCCAGCCCTACCAACCACCAGTAGTAAACAAGAAGAAGAAGAAGCGAAGCAGCGTAACAGAAAAAAATCAGTTGTTGTGGAGAATTGTGTGGGTATGGCGAGTGGGAAAGAACAGGAGTTGGAAGATGTGCCAGCAGCACTTTATGGGTCTGCTGTATGGGACCAGTTTGCATTTAGTGTGACCTACGATGACGGCGGAAAGAAAGTGGTGGATAAAAGTGCAACAGTGTGCAAGCATTGTGCAACACGTTTTGATATGCTGACAGCAACATGACCGCTCCGCCCCGCTGCGCTCCAGACCGCCTGCACAAAGCAAAGCCTACAGCCTCCACTGTGGCTCCCGTCCGCTCCGCTCTGAGTTCCTTGGAGATCGTAGAGAGCATGCGCGAGATGATTAAATTCAAAGCAGCAAAACATGCAGAAATGATCCAGGGTTTCCGCGGATCATTAAAAATAATTACAATTCATTACTTTTTTGTTTTGTTTTTTTTTTCATTAATTTCATTGATTTTTATAATATTTATAAAATGTTTTATTTTTCGGTGTAACAATAAACATATACCGAACCGAAAACCGTGAACCGTGAACCGAACCGGGGATTTTGTGAACCGTTCCACCTCTAATATATATATATGTTTTTGGGACACATAAAGGTATACAAAAACAATAATAATTAAAAGAGCCAAAATTTAATGTTATTAGGATTACAGCTTTAAATTAGGTTATCAGATTATGAGCTTTTGAAGTGGATGATCTCATCCTAAATTTCTTTCATAATCAAGATGCCATAAACTTTACTTTGAGTTCAGCATATGATGTGTGATGCTCCTGCTGCTGATGCATGATCATTGTAAATGTACCAGCTTCTATGGTTGTAGGCAACCTTCATCTGTCTTCCTCTACTAGCTGACTTACTTTAATGAGTTTCAGAGTGCAGCAATGGGCTGAATGTGCCCTGACTATAGGGACCAAGAAACAGACTACTACTAGTCTGGGGTCTGATGGTCAGAGGCAAAAAAATACAGAAGTCGTGATGGATGGAGAAGCGGAGTAAGTAAAAGTAATTACAATCTGCTTAAACCGCTGCTCTTTGTCATATCGTCAGACCTACCCACAACAAATCTCAGACAAGTCTGTTGTTGCTAAATGGAGCTTTTAACAGATCAATATATTTTTAGTCTCCCATTACTGAGCTATGCATGGTATTTATTAAAGACATTAAAATGATTTATTTATAGTTAAAGTTGAATGTTTTCAATTAACTATATAAAAAACTTGACAGAATCAGTGTGGATTTAAGGATTACATCTCTAAAGGGAAGATAAGACCTTTGCAACCGCACATATCAAATGTTGCTTGCATCTGGTCGCGAACCACTCTGCGCACATCCGCTTGAGGTCTGCGCGGATTTGCGACCGTCCGACGCGTAGTCAGGATTTTTTTGAGGTGCATGACGATGGTTGCAGAACCTCTGCGCGGGGGGCGTGGTCGCGCACAGAGATGGATTTGACGGTTGCAGAGGCTATGCGTCAGAAGCATAAATTGGCCTTAGTGTACAAACCCACGTGATGACCAGAGCAGTGAATGAGATTACAGTCACTTTTTTTCTTATCTCAGTTTATTATGGTTTAAATGATCTGTAATAGCTACAGGCTCTGGAGAAAAGATACATTTGAAGGGGCAAATATGTCTTTAAAAAACACAATCACATTCTGGGTCATGTTTCTATATTTAGATTGTAAAATGTGATCATTGTCTACTCCAGTTTATTTATTTTTTATTTATCATTAAATGAGACATTTAGCCAAGAAAGAAAAACAGAAACACTAGTTTGAAGTTAAATCCTGGGGCAGCCATCTGAAAGCAGAGGTCAGTGCCTGAATTTTCTTCTTTTTTTTTTTTTTAAACTGGAGTCACTGGTTGGCACCAACACGTGCCAAACAGCCCCCAGCTTCCCACAAATAACTCCAACACAATCTAACGGCAAAGGCCACTGGTTATATATAGCAAACAAACAGGACACGGTGCACTCATGTCTGACCCTCTGGTTGTTTATCTTTTAGGATTTCTTGGAAGACAACATCAATAATCAATTGCTGCTTTAAGGTTTTTTATATTGTCTTTTTATTAAAGTAAAGTTTTCTGTGACAAAAACAAACCTCTGTTTCTTGCAATAGTTTTTTTTTTCCTAGGTTAAGGTTTCAATGAATTTAAAATAACTTAATGAAAAATGTATAAACATCACTTGAGAGCTATGTTGGTTTGGTTGGTTGGTACTAGGGACACGGATCTAAGCATTGTTAATTGTTCTGATATACCGGTACTCATTTAAACTTTTGATTTCAAATTAAAACATTTTATTTTAACCAGCTCAAAGCTTTTCACAAATAATTCTGCCACATTATCTCTTTCAGTGTCAGCATTAAAGAAGAAAGACACATAATACTACATAAAGTCTAAGATTATAAAGGGCTCTTTTGTGCATAATAAGCAAAAAAATGCAGACCTCAAATTTACAGAAACAAAAGTCTAAATACTGTCCTAAGCTTTATCACAGCATCTCCAAACTATTTGCATTGATCTTAACGTGTTGGGAATTTTAAAGAATCATAAAAATGTATAAAATTGGGAACATTGCCAAGTTTAGAGAATGCCTCCAAAACCTCTGAACAAGACCACATCACATTTTTTGGAGCATCTAAAAAACATTAAAATAACATAATAAATAGGGTCTATGATTTCCCTCCATCATACAGGGTTCCCGCAGGTCCTTAAAAAGTCTTAAAAGGCATTGAATTCTTCAAAATAAAACTAAGGCCTTAATTGGTATTAAAATGTCTTAAATCAGTCTTTCGTAGGTCTTAATTTTTAAAACATAAATAGGATTATTTTTATAATCTAAATAAAATGTTAAAATTGACAATTTTTTTTTTTTTTTTTTTTTTTTTT